TCACCATGGGTATGTCTAGACTACAAGCTTACGTCAACATAAGTTTTGTCGACAGAATCTGTTGACAAAACTTATGTTGACATAGAGCGTCCAGACTACATCCAGTTCTGTCGACAAAGCAAGCCGCTTTGTCGACATAACAGTGTGGATGCAAAGGACAGTGTAGATGCAATAATGCCTTCTATTGACAGAACTCTTTCGACAAAAGGCATTATTCCTCGTAGAATGAGGTTTACATACGTCGACAAAACTGCTGAGTTTTGTCGACGTTATGTCGACATAACTCAAAGGCAGTGTGGACGCAAGTATAGTTTTGTCAACAAAAGTCCACTTTTGTCGACAAAACCCTGTAGTCTAGACACACCCCATGTGTGTACATCAAGTAAATCATTGAAGATTGGAGCTAGGACATGGCTACTGTTCTGCTCTCTTCTATTCTATTCACGTTCTTCTGCTGACTGTCTCAAAGTATCTGAACAACTTCCAGTAGAGCATTAAGCAGAGCCAAATGCCCTGAACACTTCTTCCACTGAGCAAGCCAAAAGCATTTGCTTCTGTAAATGAGATTGGAAAAGTGGCTTTTCAGATGGTTACTTATTATAGAGCACCTCTGATGTCCCACATTCCAGTAGTTGTGCTTTTAGAGCAGTGCCTCATACCTCTGATTACCAGTAGCACTATCACTGCTGCTTCACAAAGGGTGCCTACTGGGGAAGAGTATCAACAAGGTTTGATCATAACAAAAAAATTTATGAAGAATTATTGAAGAATCCAGTGTCTAGCTTTATATCCAGCAATTCCAGGGGAGTTTACTACCTCACACACCCCGGTTTTATTTTTGGATATATTTTAAACAAAACTCCCCTTTAAATGAGTAAACTTCTAATTTTTTCAGTTGTGCTTAGTCATTGACATTACAGTAATTTAGTTTGTAATACCATGGAAGCAGGGAAGTATACTTTGCATTTTCAGTCTTCCCAATGACAAAATATAATACTACTATGATAATTATACTTAACACAATTAACATAATTAACATCATGATATTGCAAGCAGTGGTAGGCAGTCCCCAGAAATACTTAAGTGAGTTCTAGAGAAGGGAGTCATTATCCATTAATACATAAGTCTCTGAATTATTCATGCTAATATAAAGAGATATCAATCCCATTAAAGATGAGCAAAAAATAAAGCTGAACATTAAGTGGTTCATCAGGATTTAATTCTGTAAATATTGTACTGGCACCACTGCATTTAAAATGTAACTTTGGAAGTACATGTGATCTAACAGTGGTTTTCAGCCTCTTGGAGGTCCACAGACTAAGGCCAGGTATGTGCTACAGGGGAAGGTTGGCTTAAGGTATGCAATTCCAGCTACAAGTCAACATACTTTAAACTGAACTTTGGTGCCAATCCCACAATGGGAGGTTGATAGGAGAAATGCTCTCATTGACTTCCCTTACTGCTCGCGACAGTGTCAGCGCCATCGGGGATGTCTTCAGCATTCAATTAAAAGCAGGGGTGGGGAACTTAAGGCCCAGGAGCTGGATGCAGCCACTGGTTTGCCTGGATCTGGCTCCCGAGGCTCAGGGCTCTCCCTAGCACTGGGGAGCCTGTACTGGTGCTCCAGCCTCCCATTGCCTCCCTGTGGGGATGGAGCACACGAAATTTACTAGCCTTAGTAGCCTGGGGCCCCCCAGTCTCTGGTGTGTGAGGGGGATGTGGAGAGTGCCTTTTATTTTTGCTTATCACTTGTAAGGGGCCCCTAACTGAATTTTCTGTGGGTCGGTGGCCCATGGCCCCAAAATAGCTCCCCACCGTGATTTAGAGAGTCTTTAAAAGACCTGCTAAATCAACTGCCACAGCATCGATCTTCCTGCAAGTCTAGATGTGGTCTATTATCTAAGGGGTCCACAAAAGGTTGTTACCATAGAACGGTGATTTTCAATTTGTGGACCATGCTGTTCTGCAGACAATGTCTAAGATTTCCTAAGGGGTATATATCTCTAGTCAAAAATGTTTAGGTATTTCCAAATGAAAAAGGTTTAAAACAATTGGTCTAGCCAGTGAAGCAAGGCAAAAGGATAAATTCAGCATGTATATGCTTTAATGCCTACATGTTAAAGTCTTTGTATTTGTAAGAAGTGGGGGAGGAGGAGGTGGTATATTTGAAAATAGGTAATGAAACATGCCAATTGTAGCAGGGAATTTGGGTTTTTGGTCACAGAAAGTAGTAAGCATTCAGTACTGCAAAAAAGTGAGAGGGAATCTTTGTAAGTTGTAGGGCCCCATGAGCGGGTAGAGTAGAAAAATTTCAGTGATTCAACAATGCAGCCAGTAGAAACCAAACATAAAGCATCTAAGACATTACACAATTCAACTAAGTGAGACTTTATTGGCACGACAAGCTAGACAGGTGTAAAAACGAACCAAAACCAGACAGACCTTTAAATCTCTGTTGGAGGTAAGTACAATCCAGGTTAGCTGCATGATTCCATTTGTCTGCATTCCAAGGGGGCTACCCAGCATGATGCTAACTCTTTCATTTCTCCCAATGTTAGGTACCTTATTATTTTTTGATGAGAGATTTTTCATGATCCCTGACAGTTTAGGAAATGTCTTCATCATACACCTTCAGACTTTGCACATCAGAGCACAGTGCCTCTACATCTCATATTCACTCAATGGGAAGCAAAAGTAAAAAAACCTAACAATGTTAGGAAACATTCGGAAACAGCTAGATAATAAGACAATAAAATAATATGATAATATCACTATATGAATCCATGATATGACAACACGTTGAATACTGCATGAAGGGTAATACAAATGATAGCGGGTATGCAGGGCCTTCCATGAGAGGAGAGATTAAAAAGACTGAGACTGTTCATCTTATTAAAGAAACAATCAGAGGCCTTTGCATTTCTAAATGGTGTGGAGAAAGTGAATAGGGAAGTGTTATTTACCCCTTCATATAGCACAATGAAATTAATAGGCGGACAATTTAAAAGTAACATGAGGAATTATTTCTTCCACAGGCAAACTGTGGGATACATTCCAAGGAGACAATGTGAAGGCCAACAAGGCAATTGGATTAAAAGAAGATTTAGAAAAGTTCATGGAGGAGAGGTTAATCAATAGCTATTAGCCAAGATGGGCAGGGATGCAACTTCCTGCTGCAGGTATCCCTAAGCCTCTGGTTGCCTGAAGCTGTGACTGGATAGCAGGGGATGGATCACTTGATCATTGCCCTGCACTGTTCCTTCCCTCAGAAGCTCCTGGCTCTGACCACTGTTGGACAACAGAATACTGCACTATTTCTGAAGCTCCCATTGGCCAGGAATGGAAATCCGCAGCCAATAGGAGCCCCCGGAACATGTGGAGGTGCAAATAAACAAAGCGTCTCACGGCTAGCTTTCCCTTATAAGCCATAACCCGAAGTTTAAAAACCCCTGAATTAAGAGTTGCTCTTGCCTAACCATCCCATACGGAAGAAGCCTTATGTCCTCTGGCACTGAGGACAACAGGCTCACCTAGATAAAATTCCTTAGTGGGAAAATTTAGTGCTAAGCAGAAGGTCAAAGGCCAAGACATGTAGGCTCATTTTGAGGGCATATGTAGTAGGCACGACCTTAGCAGAGCAGTGAATTTGTATTATTGGCAACATGATGGGGGCTTGCAAAAATCGCTAGCAATTATTTTTTTTCCACAGGCTAAGTCTTCACATATAGCTTATGAACAGGGCTCGCCAAGTGGTGGCGAGCCCCATTGGCCAGCTGCGCGGAACCGCACGCCGCGCATGTGCAGACTGCACTGCGCATGCGCTGAACATGCTGCGCGGCCGCGCCGGGCTAAAATCTACTCACCATGGGCTCTGGGTTTCATGGAATTAAGAAATAAAAGCACTTTGCGGTGGTGTAATTTTTTTCAGGCAGTATATATGGACAGTCCTAAACAAATATTCAGGTAGTCCCATGACACCTTAGGGCACGCCTACACTGTAGGGCAAAAGTCGAATTAAGCTACACAACTTCAGCTACATCAATTGCATAGCTGAAGTCAAAATAGTTTAATTCAGCTTTTGGTCCTGTCCACACAGCAGGAAGTCGAAGGAAGAACACTCTTCCTCCGACTTCCCTTACTCCTTGTGAAATGGGGGTTACAGGAATCAGAGTGAGAAGCCCTCCAGCTCACTATTATTTCAAAATAATGGCTTGCTGTGTAGGCTCACTCTGTTATATCGGAATAACATGAGTTATTCCAAAATATCGCTGCTGTGTAGACATTTCCTTAGAGACGAACAAATATATATATATATATATATATATAGTGTCATGAGCTTTCATGGGCATAACCCACTTCTTCAGATGAACTCATCTGATTTTTGTTAGTCTCTACGGTGCCACAGGACTACTTGTTGTTATTAAAGTTACAGACTAACACGGCTACTCCTCGGAGACCTACTAAACAAATACAGTTAGGGTCAAGATCTGCCCTCAGATGCTTCCGTGTACCTCCCTCCAACATCAAGTGCCAGCTCTTAGCTAGGGCATGCACATGAATTTAAATTTGGCCCTTTTGTGAGGAGCATAGTCTGTGCCCCTCCCCTAAGAACTCATTCTCACTGCTCCCACTTGGTGAGGAGCTTGAAGACCCCTGCAGCTCAGCTCCAGCAGGAGCTCGCTCTTTCTTCCATCCCTGCCAGAGCTTGCTCGTCTCTGCTTCTATGGCCCTGGGGCCGGAGGAGTTCTATCCCCCTGATGACTATTGTCAGGGTCTGTCGCCCTGCTTCCTCTCTCCCTCCCCCCATCCCACATTAGTGCACACCATTGCTCCTCGGCACAGTGAAGTCAATAAAGGAGCCAAGCACCAACATCCAAAACCCCCTCGGCTTAGTGTATGCTGCTGCCAGACTGGCCTCCTAGTGGGAGAGAGCTAGCAAATAAAAGAATTTGAAAGCAGGGGCTGTGGAGGTCTGTGCAGAGGAACTCGGGCTTGCTTACTTGTTACGGTATTCGTCGAGCATGCGCTGCGAATCCTTGTCCTCACGCTCCAGTTTGGCCCTGTCAGCAGACAGCTCACGGATGCGCAGGCGGTTCAGTTCAATCTGCTCAGCAAAGGCCTCTTCCAAGCCGGCCATCACATCCATGCGCTGGAAGGTCTCCAGCTGCTTGCGGAAGATAGTGTTGCGCTGCTCCAGCATCCGGGCCCGGTTGATGTAGTTGGCAAATCTCTCATTGAGCTCCTGCAGGTTTTCCAGGCCCTGGGCTTGGGCCAGGCTGCTGAATTCCGAGACACCCTGCAGCTCATCATAGGCATCAGATCGTTCATACTTCTCCTTGCGCACTTCTCTCAGGTAGCTGCTTCTATACATGGCTTGGGGGAGGCCATGCGGGCCCAAGAGCCCCTCTTCTGTGTGTCTCTGCCTCTCCAGTTTGGATCTGAAATGTGTTTGAGGGATTTAGGGAGGAGAAATAGAAGTGAACCCCCCACCCCAATCCCAAATGCCTATGACTTCTCTCCACGGTGGTTTGTGGCACTAAATGCCAGCCACCAGCAGCAAATTAAATAAAATCAAATAGCCCCGCCTCATTCCTCTCTGCCTTTCCAGAGGCTGTCAGCAGTTTGGGGGACTGTTTTCTTTCTTTCTTTCTTTCCATGACCTGCAATTGTGTATGGCCAGTATAAAAGAGACAGTGGCGTCTGGCTATTGTCAGTGGATTAGACTGCTATAAAGCCATCACAAAACAAAGACTTTGCAGTTTTAGAGGCTTGAGTTCAAAGCGTTTGGTGGCTGGGCTTTTGGGAGTTGGACTGTTTGTACTACGACAGTGTATGGAATCCTTTTGCTACATCAGTGGTTTTGCACGAGGGGTTGAGCAAGAGCCATGTTTACCTTTTGCCTGGTCTAATGCTTTTTGTGATTGTTCCAGAACAAAAGGGGAACTGCATATAGAAGGACAGTGCAAGTGAGCCCTGCATTAACTAGCCGCCCTGTGAGCAATGGGTACATTAACTCCAATTCTTCTCTCTCCTTCCAGTGGCAAAATAGGATATGTCCGTCCTACACTGTGTCCTCCAGAACCACACCTGGCATCACAACAAGAAAGTCAGAGACTACCATGGTGTCTCAGAAGGCCTTGGTCAATAATCCTGTTATTAGAGGCCACTATACAAACATGGGCACATCTGTGTTAGAGGCTCAGATTATACACCAAGAAAGCTCATCAACACTGAGGTATCCTAAAAGCATCTTCAGGGGACTAAGTGCAAACCTAGCTGCCTGAATGCAGAAGTAGGGTGCGTCTACACAGCAGTGTAACTCAAAATAAGATACGTAATTTGAGCTACACAAATTGCGTATCTTATTTCAATGCTATTTCAAAATAGCTTATTTCGTCATTTGGTGCTGTCTACACATATCCTGGGGGGAATCTGGAAATTAGGCTCTAAATCATATAAAAAGAAACATTAGGTTTGAGTTATAAGTGTAACCAAGAGGCATGGAGATGACTGACAAGAGAGAGTGAAGTCTGCTCTATGGAGTTAGCTGATTGGTACTTGGCTTTTAGCTCATGTGGTAGAGACACACCTTTAGCCCCTAAGGTTGCAGGTTCAATCCCTCCTGCTAATGACCAGTGTCTGTCAGCTTTACATAAGTATCAGCTCCTGACCATTTCCTTGGGCTATGTCTATACTGCAGGTTTTTTGTGCAAGAACAGCCACTCTTGCACAAAAACTTGCAGAGCGTCTACACTGCATGCGTGTTCTTGCACAAGTAAATTTACAGTAAAGATTCAGAAGAGAAGGCTTGTTGTGCAAGAATTATTCTTCTCCCCATGAGGAATAAGCCCTCTTGTGCAAGAGCTCTTATACAAGAAGGCAGTGTGGTTGGGCAACTGGCCTACAGAGCTTTCTTGAGCATTGCCATGGATGCTTTTGCACAAAAGCACATCTCTCGTGCAAAAGCACATGGCAGTTCTTGCACAAGAAGCCTGCAGAGTAGATGTAGCCCTGGGCTGTGTCTACATTGGCACCCCTTTCCGGAAAAGGGATGCTAATGTAGACTTTGGAATAGGCAAATCCGCAGGGGATTTAAATATCCCCTGCGGCATTTGCATTAACATGGCTGCCGCTTTTTTCCGATTAAAATACCCCCTGCGGCATTTGCATTAACAGGGCTGCCGCTTTTTTCCAGCTTGGAGATAAGCCGGAGAAAAATGCCAGTCTAGACTTTCAAGTAGGAATAAGAGATCCTCCAGAAAAGGCTTTATTTTCTGGAGAATCACGTCTAGACTGGTGCTTTTCTCCGGCTTATCTCCAAGCCGGAAAAAAGCGGCAGCCATGTTAATGCAAATGCCATGGGGGATATTTAAATCCCCCGCGGATTTACCTATTCCAAAGTCTACATTAGCATCCCTTTTCCGGAAAGGGGTGCCAATGTAGACACAGCCCTGGTGTTTACAAACACAGCAGTCCATGCTTACACCGCACAGGATCGATTGCTTACCTGGCTTTCTTACTCTAATGACCAGGGAGTTCAGCTCCCTTTTAGGCACCTAAATAAGAGCCAGAATTTTAAACCTACCACACAGCCAGTGTTCTGAGTTCTCCTGAAAGTCTGGCTACATAAGTTGCAAAGAGAAAATCTGGCCCCAGTTCTGAGCACTGAGTTCTTTTGAATTTGGTCCTTGATTTGTATACTCATTGGAAATAGGATGCTATTTGTTTGACACAGCATGAAAAGCACCATTCATGCTTTTGGCACTAGATTATCAATGATACAGTGCCCGATGTTTACAAGTGTTGAACAAATTGGACGCTGGGCGCACAGCATTTTTGAAAGTCAGTTTACACTGAACAGAGACCACTAATTTCCATCCAGCTCTGGCCACAGGGGTTAATTATTATCTACATCTTACAAGTATTCCTCATGGAACCACATTGTCTGGTATAAGCTGCGGACAGAGATCAGATGAATGAGGAGTTGAATAATCCAGTTTTGTTTCTATAATTGTATTGCATGGTGCACAGAGCCTTAGGTAGATGCTGTCAGCTGACGGTCAGGGCAGTGTGTGTGTGTGTGTGTGTGCTGAGAAAAGGTTTAACGTCCGTGACTTTACTGCTAGGACCGGGGTCCCATCGCAGAGGGCAGCCAACAGGCTGACAGATGCCCCTGTTTATAGGAAGAGCTTATTACATCTCAGATTTTAGCTGCTAGGATACAGGATCCCTTTGCAGCAGGCAGTCTAGGGAAGACTGAGAGATGCTCCAACAGATCTGTCACCTGGGAGTGACACGATCCAAATGCCCAAGCTCTTCCTATACCTGTCCCTTATGACCGGCTGAAGTTCTTTTAAATTGTGCTTGGTTCTGTTACAACAACTGAAGGAGTCAGGTTAAAAACTTAAACAGTTACAGGTTTATTAAAAAGACTTATAAAAGCATATGGTTACAATGGCTATTGCTCTCTTTCTTAACTGCTAGCAAATACAGATCTTATAGTTACAATGGCTATTGCTCTATTTCTTAACTGCTAGCAAATACAGATCTTATAGTTACAATGGCTATTGCTCTATTTCTTAACTGCTAGCAAATACAGATCTTATAGTTACAATGGCTATTGCTCTATTTCTTAACTGCTAGCAAATACAGATCTTATAGTTACAATGGCTATTGCTCTATTTCTTAACTGCTAGCAAATACAGATCTTATAGTTACAATGGCTATTGCTCTATTTCTTAACTGCTAGCAAATACAGATCTTATAGTTACAATGGCTATTGCTCTATTTCTTAACTGCTAGCAAATACAGATCTTATAGTTACAATGGCTATTGCTCTATTTCTTAACTGCTAGCAAATACAGATCTTATAGTTACAATGGCTATTGCTCTATTTCTTAACTGCTAGCAAATACAGATCTTATAGTTACAATGGCTATTGCTCTATTTCTTAACTGCTAGCAAATACAGATCTTATAGTTACAATGGCTATTGCTCTATTTCTTAACTGCTAGCAAATACAGATCTTATAGTTACAATGGCTATTGCTCTATTTCTTAACTGCTAGCAAATACAGATCTTATAGTTACAATGGCTATTGCTCTATTTCTTAACTGCTAGCAAATACAGATCTTATAGTTACAATGGCTATTGCTCTATTTCTTAACTGCTAGCAAATACAGATCTTATAGTTACAATGGCTATTGCTCTATTTCTTAACTGCTACAGATGTTACCACTCTTTGCAGTAATAATTACCATAATAGCATGTGTACAGTACTAACTCAGAATTGGCACCATGGATATGGAATTCACTGCACTGCAACAGCAGAAGGAGCACTGATTCTTGATCAAAGATCAGCTTCCTTTTTTTCCATGTGTACACAAATAAAATAGGAATTTGGGGGGTTTTGTGAAATATTCTTGGATCTGTTACCACTCTTTGCAGTAATAATTACCATAATAGCATGTGTACAGTACTAACTCAGAATTGGCACCATGGATATGGAATTCACTGCACTGCAACAGCAGAAGGAGCACTGATTCTTGATCAAAGATCAGCTTCCTTTTTTTCCATGTGTACACAAATAAAATAGGAATTTGGGGGGTTTTGTGAAATATTCTTGGATCCATCCAACCCGCGTGGATGGGGGGGGGGGGGGGAATCTTCTTATTGACTCAGTAAATAGGGCTCAAGGAAGACAATTTTCAGTGCAATTTTTTGTGTTATAAAACTCAGGAAAACTTTGAAGTTCCATTTTTATTCATGCAAGTGTGTTAACTGAGTGGATTTACTGCCAGGTTGGCTTTTTGAATAGAAAGGAACATAGCTCATACCTGATTTAAAGGGCCAGATTCTCAGCTGATGTAGACTGGCATAGTTCCATGGAAGCCAAAGCCAATTTGCCTGAGGGAGGATCTGGCCCTGGAGATCCACTTGCCACATTTGTATGCCCATTTGTGTGTGTTTTGCACAAGATACAGAAGGAACACTTAAGCATGCAGAGCCCTAATATAGGTACCCAGACACCTATATGAATGGTCAAATGGTCAAATGCAGCCCTGCTGAAGGCACAACTAAAAGAAAATCAACATCAAGGGCCAGATCTTCTGCAGGTGTCAGTTGCATAACCCCACTGAAGTCAAAGCAGTTACAGAATCCTAGGATCCTAGGGCTAGAAGAGACCTCAGGAGGTCATTGAGTCCAGCTCCCTGGCCAAAGCATTTTATGCCAATTGACACCCTGAGGATCCAGCCTGTTCAGTGCCACCGTATTCCACTGTTCCAAAGGATTAAGTCTTCCCTCTACCTCAATGGGAAATTTAAACTATCAGATTGTTTTTAATGGAACTCCTGGTAGTTCCCTATCAAAGACACCACCTGCCTTTTGGCTCTGTTTGGGTTCTCTCTTCAGACAAGGCTCTCAGTTTCTGAAAGCTCATTGTTGTCTGTGTGTCCATTAATGAAAGGTATGAAAAATTGTTTCCTGAAAGTTTGTGAGACCCATGTCCCTTTGGAG